CTGAGGGTTAATGGGGGGTGGGAGGGAGGGGAGGGTGGGTGATGGGTATTGAGGAGGGCATCTGTTGAGATGAGCACTGGGTGTTGTATGGAAACCAATTTGACAATAAATTTCATATTAAAAAAAAAGATAAAAAAAAGAAAGTTTTGTAGAAAGTGTCAGCCTCATTGGCTCAAGAACGCACCAGGATGTGCCACTGGCATATACACCATAAAGTCTTTTGAATATTTTTTGGTGAAAAGAATTCTGATCTTAAATGGAGATTATTCCAATTTTATTTTGAATTCAGGTAAAATCTATTTTTCCTCACAAAACAAGTCTTATGTGTAGGTGAGTCAGGAAGCTCCTGGGCTTTAAAAGTTGTGAGGACACCGTGTGTGACACCCAAAGAATTAAAATCTTTCCCAAAGGGACAGTTTTGTTGGCCCCTTTCAGTGACAGGCTCACGTGTGGCATTTTCTGTGGGACGCATGTGGCTTAGAATGAGGGGCTTCCTCTCTCTGAGCCTCAGTTTCCCTGTGGGATAAGAAGTGTGGGCAGGTGTGTCAGGAGGTCTGTGGGCCCTGCTCTGGGCTGGGGGCTCTCCCAGGAGCCCGTGGTAAGCAAGCTCCTGGCAAGCGGGCATGCAGCCAGCTCTGCCTGGCCCCCGCCACAGAGGCAGATGGGAGCAAGGATGCCATCGCGGACTCAGGTGGGACCCCATTATTCGGTAGCCTGCTTCATGTGTGGGGGGCTGAGGTGGGTCCTCATCACCAGCCCTTTTTCCAGGTGGTGAACCGGCTGGGCCTGGACTCTCTATCCCCTTTCAACCCCAAGGAGAGGATCATCGAGTGAGCACAGCCCTCACCCCCGCAGACACCTGCCTCAGTCCTTCCAGAGCCTTCCAGTTGGCCACTCATCCATCGGCAAATGCCAGGGTGCCCGTGCCAGCCATGAGGCCGGAGGCTGGTTGAGGGGACACAGTGAGGTCCCAACAGGGTCCCACTGTGTCCTCACGAGGGCTTCTGCGTGGGCATGGCCACTCTGCAAACTGGGACTGTGTCCCCTCCCCTGTGTTGGTGAGGGGGTGTGTGGGAGGGGCCTGGGGTCAGGGATCAGGGTCTGAGCCAGCCCTGCCCTCACAGCCTGGCAGTAGTGACCCTGGATCCTGTCTTCCATTCCCCTGTCCCCGAAAGCCCCATCCCCCATCCCTGGCCCTGTGTGACGGAGGACACATCCCCTGTCCCTGCCCCTAGCTCTTCCCTCCCCTCTCTGAGCTTTGCTGAGCTGACCCTTCCCCACAGGTACCTGGTCCCCAACAGTGGGCCTGAGCAGAGCCTGGTGAGCAAGTCTCTGTGTGCCTTCGTCCGTGAGGTGGGCGCCCGCTCGGCGGCCCCGGGGGGTGGCTCGGTGGCAGCGGCCAGTGCAGCCATGGTGAGTGCGAGGCAAGGGGCGAGGGACGAGGACAGGGCCCGGGGTGCCTGGCCTGGGATCCCGAGTCTCACGCGTGGCTCATGCCTCGCCTAGGGTGCCGCGCTGGCCTCCATGGCCGGCCTGATGACCTATGGGCGGCGCCAGTTTGAACACCTGGATGCCACCATGCGGCGCCTGATCCCGCCCTTCCACGCGGCCTCTGCTGAGCTGACCGCGCTGGTGGACGCGGACGCCCGGGCCTTCCAGGCCTACCTGGTGAGTGCTCAGAGAGGGGGTCAGCTCATGATGGGGGGCGCGCTGGGGAGAGAAAGCTCCTGCGGGGTCACAGAGAACTTGCAGGAGGGGGAAGGGCTGTTGCAGGCTCGGGTGTCTGGGCACCAGGGGAGGTTGGAGCCCCCGCCTTGAGCGTGAAAGGCTGCTTCAGGGGCTCTGAGGGTTTGGCGCAGGCGTGACCCCACGCTCACATCCACGGCGGCGGCGGGGTGGGGTGGGAAGTTCAGTCCAGGCTCAGCACCTGCCCCCCAGCTGCCCCTGAGTCTTACGGTCGGGTTGGCACCCAGACCCGCAGACGCTGCAGGAAGGCGTCAAACAGGGCGGGTGGGCAGTGAAAATCCTAGAAGAGCCGGTGACCGATGGTCCGAGAGAGACTGGAGAAGACGTTTCAGCCACAAGGTAGAGAGAGGACCACAGGGAGAGCTGGCGGGTCAGATGAGAACCCGCTCGCTCACGGGCAAGAGGCAGCTGGTGTGCCGGGTGGTGGGTGACAGAGAAGGCGCTCAGAACCCAGGGCAGAGGACGGAGGAGTCCAGGACCAAAGCCTGGCCGTGCGTCTGTGTCTGAGAGCAGTTCCTGGTGGAAGGTCCCGGGAGAGGCATGAGCTCGCAGCTGCCAGCCGCCCCAGAGCCACCTCGCGGGCAGAGCTGGGGTGAAGGGCAGTCTGGGGAGCAGGCGGGCCCGCACTCTGATGACCGCTGGTGACCTCCAGGGCACGCCGTGCACCCCCAGAGTGAAGGCTGTAGGCAGACAGGGAAGAATCAGAGTCTCATCTAAATAAGTCACCATCTGGAACTCAAGTTCATGTCCTCTGGGAGGGAGGTGTAGAGACAGATCTCCTTTTCCCATTTGTGTTTTTATGTTTAAATTTCATTTGTTTGCTTTTGAAAGTAGGTAAAAGAATTCACAAGGGCAGGAGAGTAGCAGATGAGAAGACCCGATGCCCTGCCTCCCCCTGCCCACACGCCCTAAACAGGTGCAAGTTCTAGGGCATGTGTCCTGGGATGGTTATCTATATTCTCGTAGATGCAGCTTTTTTTTTCTCTCCTTTCTCACACAAATGGCATCATACGTGTTCTTAGATCGCCTCTTGCATTTCTAACTTGGTGTTCTGTCAGATCTTTCTATACTGGCGCATGGAGACCACACCCCTCGCTGCCAGCACAGATCTTCCCCAACTTACCAGGGGGTCACATCCAAAAGCCCATCATAGATTGGAAACAGCGTAAGGCGAAAATGCATTTGTTGCATGTAACTTATGCACATCACACTTAGCTGGTCTGCCTCACACGTGCTCAGAGCACTTCCGTTAGCCTGCGGACGGGCACAGCCGCCTGGCCCACAGCCTGTTTTACAAGGAGGGTGGACGTCTCGAGTAGTTGACCGAATACCGTACTGAAGTGACAGGCAGACCGTGTGGGCCCAGAACGGTCATCGGTGTGCGGGGACCGCGTGGCCGCCCAGCCCCGGGGTGACACGGCGTGTGGAAACTCCAGGCACCGTGTTTACTGAACGCACATCCTTTGGCACCGCTTACAGTCGAAAATCCTAAGCCGAACCCTTGTAAGTTGGGGACTGTCTGTATCCTGCAGACGTCTGGGTCACAGCGCGGTTGGCCAGCCCCACTGGGGGATTTAGGCCCTTTAGTCGGCACCCGGGCGGTTGCTGTGGACACCTCTGGCGTCCGTCACTGGGGGCGGTGGGCAGCCTGTGGGAATGATTCGCAGAAGGACTTGCTGCCCAAGGTGGGTGCGCTTCTTTGAAGGACGCTGCCAAGTGGCCCTTGCCGGGCTGCACGGATGGGGCTCTGCCTGAGGGGTCTGAGGGCTCCTCCCCGGGACCCCCGCCGTCGGACTTGTAGTCACCCTGTGGTTTGTCTCCTGGAGCGGCCCTGGCGTGTGCTGCTCAATGTGTGTGGCAAGGAGCGTTTCTTGTATTTCTCACGGCGGTGTTGTGTCCCTTCTGGAGAGGAAAGGCACTTTCCCGCTGGCTAGGACCCTCTTGCACACTTGGGACTCGCTCTGTGGTTTGCCGCTGGCCGTTTGCTTCCGGCGGTGCTCGTGCTGCTTCCTGCCCGGGAGCTTTGTAGGCTGCATGGGTTTTCGTCCCTGAGCTTGGAGTCTGCCGTTTGTTCTTTCCTGTCACGGTTCACAGGGCCTCCTGGCCGTGCTTGCTGGGCTTCTTCCTGGTTCTTCCCAGACTCCTGTGCTCTGAGAGGCGGTTAGGGAGAAGCATCAGTTTAAATATAGATACAAACATTTAGGGCTAACCACCAGTGATTAGAAATAAGGTGAATGAATAGAAAACAACGGGAGGGAGGTAGAAAAATGAAAATCTAATCAGAAGGCAGGGAAGAAAAGAAAGATAATCAGCAAGGGTGTGTGATTTAGAGAGCGCACCGTCGGAAGTCACACACGCGAGAGCGAGAGCAGTGTGCCACGCTCCCTGGAAGCAGGTGGAGTTCTGGGGAAAAAAAGGGACATTCTTGTCTTGTGCCAAATGAGCAAGTAATTTTCAGGTGGGGTTAAACGAAGTTCACAGTAAGCCTAACTCCAAGTGGGTGGCGTCCTCACCTGGACACAGATGTGACCGCGTGAAGGACAGGCTTCACTGACATCAGCCCCGATTGGCCCAGTGGAGACTCAGAGCACCCAGCCTGGCGGCCTCACGGTGACAGCCGGGGTCAGTGCCCCACGTGTGTGAGGACTGCTGTGGAGACTGGGGGGAGGCAGCCCCAGGAGACTCAGGAGACGCTGGGGCGGTGACTCGGTGGGTTCTGTGCGGGGCCAGGGCTCACTTGCCATCAGGCCTGCTGACACAAGCGTCGACTTTTGGGTGGAGATTTATTCAAATCTTCAACAGGCACATTCCCCACCTGGCAAGGCCCTCAGGCCCTGGGCCCTTGCAGTGGGCAGGGTGGGATTTCGGTGTGTGAGGGAGAGGCCTGGGCAGACGGGGGTGCACAGATGGGGAGCTGACGTAGTCACCGGCGTAGGGTGAGTGTGGCCAGTCCCGGAGGAGGGCCTGAGCCAGTACCGGTGGGGGACACACCCATGAGGTCTAGACCCGAGTGGTACAGTTGCCTGTGTTTTTTTTTAAATTTATTTTTAATTTTTTAATGTTTATTTTTGAGAGACAGAGACAGAGTGCCAGCGGGGGAGGGGCAGAGAGAGAGGGAGACACAGAATCTGAAGCAGGCTCCAGGCTCTGACCTGTCAGCACAGAGCCCGATGCGGGACTTGAACCCAAGAACCACGAGATCATGATCCGAGCTGAAGTTGGACACTTAACCTACTGAACCCCCCAGGTGCTCCCAGTTGCCTGTGTTAACGCACAAGCAGTGACTGGAGTCCATGCTGTGTGAGGGGACACCTGGTCCCTGAGGGCGTCCCCAATCCCTGAGTGCCTGGAACCTGGCAGAAGTGCTCCCAGTGCATCCATGCCCGCAGAAATGCCAGCCCTGGGGGTGCTGGTGTGGACACTGCCCCTTGACCTGCCCAGACTCTCTGTGTGGCCCCAGGCTATGGCCACTGCTCACCCCACTCGCTTGTGTGTTCTGTTCTGGCAGGAGGCAACGAAGCTGCCCAAGGACACACCTGAGGACAGGGACAGGTGAGTCGTGGGGCAGTGCTGCCCCGGGGCCATGAACACCCAGGTGCCTTGATCTCGGAGACATTTAATCCACCCGCTGGGGCTGTGTTGTGATTGGGGAATGACTTCCCTGTTGGCCCCACCCTGGTTCTGTGTGCTGGCGGGGCGCTGTGGGTGGGGGTCCGGGCGGCCCCTGGGCTCTCACCATGGACCCCCTTGGTTTTAGGCGTGCGGCTGCCCTGCAGGAGGGGCTGAGGCAGGCGGTGGCCGTGCCCCTGGTGCTAGCAGAGAAGGTGGCCTCGCTGTGGCCCGCGCTGCAGGAGCTGGCACAGTGTGGAAACCTGGCCTGCCGGTCCGACCTGCAGGTGCTTGGGACTCAGCCTCCCATTGTAGGGGAGCAGCGGGGAGGGTCGTTGGGTACTTACTGAGCCAGGCCCCGGGCAGGAGCACTTCCCATGGGGTCCTGGCTGGTCTTAGCCCGCAGAGCACATTGGTTCGTCCTGTTTTAAAAGTGGGAAGTAAGGATTTTATTTAAGCCTGCATGGCAGAGGGGCTGAAAGTCTAATGTATCTCCAGAGTCCACCCCTGACCATAGCCCACAGACCGTCCCGGGGACCCCATCTCCTACCCTGCCTCATCCTCTCCCCTTCCCTCCTTCTCACGGCTGCTATTCTGGAAAATGCCTAAGCCCCCTTGCAGATGTGCACAGGTCACCCTGTGCCCTGCCGGTGCGTGGAAGGCTCAGGGTGTGGGAGCATCAGAATGGGCTCTGTGATTTCCACAGTCTGTCCTGAGCTCCAGTGTGTGGGGTCTCTATAAGAGAGACACCTGTTTTCGGTGGTCCTGGGGCCTTGGAGAAGCCTCTCTTCCTCCCCTTGGGGGCAGCCATATGCCATCTGGGCCAAGTGGCTCGGCGGTTCTGGGTTCTGGATTCATCCCCAGGCCGCGCTCTGACCTGCTCTCTCCTGGTGGCTGGCAGGTGGGAAGCAGGGATGGGACTCAGGAGCGCCGGCCATAGTCAGAGCCTGAAGCTGGCAGGCCAGCAGGCCACACCTTGCTCAGACCCGAGGGGGCCTCTTTTTCTTTCTTTTTAGAAAAATTTTTTAAATCTTTATTTATTTTCAGAGAGAGACAGAGTGTGAGCAGGGGAGGAGCTGAGGGGAGGGAGACGCAGAATCAGAAGCGGGCTCCAGGCCCCGAGCTGTCAGCACAGAGCCCAATGCGGGGCTCGAACTCACGAACCGTGAGATCGTGACCTGAGCCGAAGTCGGATGCTTAACCGACTGAGCCACCCAGGGGCCGAGGGGACCTCATTTTCTCCGCTCCGGCTGTGGTTGTCATCTGTTTCTGGAGGGGCCAGGCCAGAGCCCCCCCTGCTGTGCATGGAGCCCCATAGCCTCCTCAGACAGGCCAACCCTGTGTCTCATGGGGACCCCCGGGGCGCTCAGTTTGCCATCTTTACTGATGGGGTGTGAGAGCCCCCAGTCGTGGCCCCGTGTAGCAGAGTGGGTAGAGCGGGCCTGCCATCTGCAGGGTCACGGACCGCCGGCCCCATGCCTGGCGCCTGTTGCAGGTGGCGGCCAAAGCCCTGGAGACAGGCGTGTTTGGGGCATATTTCAACGTGCTCATCAACCTGAAGGATGTCACCGACAGCGCGTTTAAGGAGCAGGTGAGCAGGAAGGCGTGGGGGCTGGGCCCCGTGGTGGGACCTGGAGGTCGCCCTCAGGGCTGTGGTTCCAAGATGCGGGCCTGGGGGAAGTGTCCACCTGTGGAGATGTTCCTCTGGCCTCCTGTGGTGGCCGTTGTCCTCTCTGGGGTTTCTGTGGTGGCAGGTGGCCAGGCCTCATCAGCTGGGGGGGGGGGGGCTGGGGGGCTGCTCGGTGGGAGCCCCCATGCCCTCTATGGGGCCATCCTGAGCCGCCTTCCACACTCACCTGCCTGGTGGGGCCGCCAAGGCTGGGGTCCCCACGGTCGGCACCATAGCACTGGCGCACGCCATCTCAAAGAACGGTCACCAACCTACGATGCGATCTTAGCTTCAGCCTCTGTGAAAATTTCATTGTGATCGCTGTTTTGAGGTCAATTGGAGGAATATACTGTTCACCATTTTAAAGTGTGCAACTCAGCGCATTCTGCACATGTGTGACCACCACCTCTATCAAGTTCCAGAGCATTCTCATCACTCCAAAGGGAGGCCCCCCCCCATTGTAAGACCCCTTTTCCTCAGCCCATAGCCCCTGACACCACTCGTCTGTCTCTGTGATTTTGCAATAATCTTTAAAAAGTGACCTTCCAGCTCGGGACGAAGGCCTTTTCAGGGGCTGAGCTTGGCCTCTGAGGGAAGTCGCTGTCCACCACGTGCCCACGTGGCTGTGGACTGAAGGATGGGCGTGGGGACACAGCCTTACTCTCTGCAGTGGTGGCTAAAGTGGGAAAAACAGGAGGGTGGGGGGCCTGGGCCCGGCAGTCCTTACATCTCAAGAGAGACATGAGAGGAATTGGGGTTCCCCAAGTGGGGGGCTCGGGACCACCCCAGAGAGGACGGGCCAGGGAGCATGGCCAGAGGGCGCAGAGAGGTGGCAGGGACTGTGGGCCGGCGGGGACGGGCTGCGGGTGCAGGGTGACACCTGGCTTTTGTCTGGCAGACCCGCCAGCACATCTCCAGCCTCCTGCAGGAAGCCAAGACGCAGGCAGCGCTGGTGCTGGACCGCTTGGAGGCCCGGCAGGAGTGAGGACGCCGGAGACCTCGTGGGCTCTGCACCCCTCAGTGCCCCTCCCCCTTCCCAGAAGGGTCCAGCCTCGCCCGACAGCACAGGACAGCCTCCAGTCACCACCCCTGTGGGGCCCGGGGTGGGCTGGGTGGGGCCAGGGCTCTGTTTGGGGTGGCAGAACCACCTCCCGCCATCTCTTGTGGCTTCTAGTAAAGTCACGGCATACCAATAGTGTAGTGTGTTTGGGGCTGGAGTGTGTTTGGGGCTGGAAGTGTGTTTGGGGGAAGAAGGGAAAGGTCGAGCTACGTGGGCGGGGATGGGGGGCTCATGACGAGTGCGCATGGGGGCAGGTGGTCAGAGGAAGTGTGGGCACAGCATGAGGTGACACACTGGTTCCAGGATTCCATGGATGGGTGTGAGATGCCACTGGGGCCTGAGCCACAGGTCGCTGGGAGCACCCGGGGCTCATTGAAGGGTGCCTGGGCTAGGTGGCCCTGGGGTCATGCACGGGACAGAAGTGCCCCAGATAGTAGGGCCCCTCCATCACATCTCAGGGAGGGGGTGTGGCCGGCGTCCGGTGCTGTGGGGGTGGCCAGGTCCAGATGCTGGGGCGGGTGAGGAGAAAAAGGAACAGCATGCCGGGAATTCGTGGGTCAGGTGATGAGTTCCCCTGACCTGGCTGGGAGGGGACAAACCATCAGACCCGGGGGTCCCAGGAGGGCAGTTCCCCCATCTCCCAGCCCACAGCCCCTCTACCTTTTGTTGCGTCCCCCTGCAGGATCTAGGGAGAGGTGTTGTGGAGGTTCCCCAGGGCTTCTGGGCCCACGAGACCCTCCCGCCTGGCAGGCAGCCCCAGATTCAGGTGTTGCCGGGCCAGGGATGACAGCGGTGACTGAGGGGGGGTGCGAGGGGCTCTGGGTGGGAGCTCCAACCAGAGGAAGACAGCAGGTGTGCAGCGGCCCTGGTGAGGGGTGCTGGTGAGGCTCGGCGCAGGTGGCTGCGTTCCCCAGCGGGATGCCACCCTCGGGGCTCCGAGCCTTGACTGGGCGAGGGTGGGCTCTGCCACAGGAGGCCACGCCATCCCCAGCTGCAGGCTGAGCTTTTCCTAGTTTCATCTTTCAAAAGACGCAACGTGTTACGCGCTCAAAAACCGAAGCGACGCAGAGGTTGCGTGAAGCCTCGTTACCCCGTCCCCGCCAGCCCCCCACGCCCTCTTCAGGGTTCACTGCTTCTGTGTTTCGTGCCCACGTAGCATCTAGTGAAGCGTGAACATAGATTCTCAATTCTTGCTTCACTGTGTAAGGAGAGCAGATTACATGCTGGATTTTGATTCTACTTCCCGAGAGCCCCGAAGGCCTTTCGTATTGGTATTTAGAGAATGTGTTTTATTCACTCATCCTTTCCCCGTAGTTTCTTAACCATTTCACTGTGAAATATAAGACACATTCAGAAACCACGACCAGTAGCTCAAGGATTTGTGCCCATGTCCTGGGTGACCCTCTCGTGTCACAGAATCCCCCTGACCCCCACAACCTTGCACTAAGATGACTGGACCCGTTTCCTCTTGGCCCGTCAGGCAGGTGCAAGCTTGACAGTTTGGATGTCCCTGTTGGAACATTTGAGAGGGGATGTCAGTGACAGGTCGCTGGTGAGGAGATCTTAGCGAGGGGACGTTGGGGAGGGACATAAATGAGGGGATGTTATTGAAGAGATGTTAACGAGGGGACGTTGTTAAGGGGACATTGATGTGGGCCTTACTGTGGGGACATCATTCATGAGGGATGCTGGTGTGTGGACACTGGTAAGGAGACGGGTTAGCATATGGTTAGTATATATTTGGGATGTTAGGGATGTTTGTTAGGGCATGCTGCTGAGGGAACCTTGGCGAGGAGACGTTAATGTGGGGATATTAGAGGGCATGTGTTGCTCTGAGAGTCAGGAGGAGTGTTGCTGGTGTGGGCCCCTCATCGAGATTGTGAGGGTCTAGATCATTCTAGTCCAGGTCTGTCCTTCCTCCAGAGCAGAATTCATAGGACATTCACTCAGGATGAGAGACCCCTTCAAACACATTGTTGCAGAGGTCACAGAGTACACGTGTTGTTTCTGGGTAAGGGGACCCATGGCCTTGGGCACATTAAAATTTTTTTTTAAATGTTTATTTATTTTTGAGAGAGAGAAAACAGAGTGTGAGCAGGGAAGGGCAGAGAGAAAGACCCAGAATCCAAAGCAGGCTCCAGGCTCTGAACTGTCAGCACAGAGCCCAATACAGGGCTCAAACCCACAAATGGTGAGATCATGACCGGAGCCGAAGTCGGATGCTTAACTGACTGAGCCACCCAGGCGCCCCAACTTATGCACATTTTTTCAACGTTTATTTATTTTTGGGACAGAGAACAGAGGCATGAGCGAGAGGGGCAGAGAGGAGGGAGACACAAGAATGGGAAGCAGGCTCAGGCTCCGAGCCATCAGCCCAGGGGAAACCCGACGGGGCTCGGGAGAACTCGCAGAGACAGCAGATGGTGATACAAGCTGAAGTCGGACGCAGCAACCCGACCCCTATGCCCAAGCCCCTATGCCTGGGAGGCTAGGGAGGCTGAGCTCCCCACACACCAGCAGGGGCTAGGACTGACCCCAGCCCTTCTTTTAGGCGTGTGGCATGCTGGTGATGCCTCGTGGCTGGCACCTCTCACCGTCCTGGGTGGGTTCTGTAACCACTGTGCCGTGTGCTTTGGTTTCAGACTTCTGGCCTCCAGGTTGGGGGACAATCAATTTCTGTTGTTTAAGCCACCCAGTTAGTGGTGGCTTGTTGAGGCAGCCCGAGCAAACAACAAACAGGAAGGTTAAGCCTCTCTGCGGGGAGCGGTGGCAGTGGTGATTATCCGAACTTCCCGGGATGGTGAGTTTAAAGACCAGTAAAGTCACCCAGAATCCTATCTACCCAAATGGCCTCTGCAAACCGACCTAACTTTTTTTTTTTTTTTTTTTTGAAGAGACAGAGACAGAGAGAGAAGACAGGGAGGGGGGGCAGAGAGAGAGGGAGAGAACCTCACGTAGGCCCGTGCCCCTGTCTGTGCTCATGACTTGGGGCAATGACAGTGAGATCAAGTCAGGCAGCTTAACGAGCTGAGCCACCCATGTGCCCTACATTTTTAAAACACACTTTTGTATTTGGTTTGAGATGAGAGGGACTTCCTGAGGCAAGTAGCATTCTTTTCAGCTCAATGCCAACCAAGACAGAGTGGATTCCATGGAATCCATGTGGTTGGGAAGCTGTCAGTCTATACATTGGGGTGGTGTGGACAGTCAGTGCCGGGAGACAGCACCTGCCCCCCCAGGAGGAGGAGGCCAGCCGGGGTACCATGATCGATCCTGGTGGCATGTGAGCGATTGAATGTCTCCATGGCCACTGCTAGGGGTCTTAGTGAAGCACACATAAGGAGAGGCGGAGAGCAGGAGGCAGTTCTAAACCTTGTGTATGGGGTGAGTGCATACAGGAATAACAGGGATGCTGTCCCAACTCTAGTCTGGGACAGGTGACCTCAAGCCAAGCAGGACTTGGAGCAAGCCCAGCCAATTGGTGGGGCCCTGAGACCCTCCTGGAGCATACTGGAGGCAGGAAGGGAGGCAGGGGCTGAGGCTGGGTGGGGGGGGGCGGGCAGCGAGGGGCCTGTCCCGAGGCTCTGGGCACGCAGCCACCAAGGGTGCTAGCCCGGGAAGCCTCTAGGGTCCAGAGGGGCATGGAGGGGGGGGGGGGGGGGAAGTGAGTGGGCAGGAGGGGGTGTAGGGCTGCTGGGATATGGAGGAGCGCTGGTGGCGTGGGTGGGAATCCTCCTTTCCTGACCTCCACACCCCACACCTGATCAGGTCTAACATCTTGGGGCCTCTGGAGGTGAGATCCTGAGTAGCATAAGGATGGGAGGGGCTGGTAGCCTCTCTCTTGGGAACCGGGGAGCTGGGGGTGCCAGGCTGAGAAAGAGAGGCGCCTTAGGGCAAGTAGGGAGCAGGAGGCGGGGCAGAGAGGCTGAGGCTGGGAGGGCAGGCAGAAGGCGGAGTGTGGCCTTGGGGAGCTGGAGTTGAGGCCTCCCCAGCGGCTGGAAGCCGAGGGGCGAGGCGCCAGAGCAGGGGACGTCGGGGCGGGGGCTGGGGGCCGCTAGCAGATCCAGCGGATGAACCTGTCGAAGAAGCCGGGCTGTGCCAGGCTGTCGTAGTCCTTCTCGCGGAAGACGGCGGCCGCGTCGCCCAGGCTGATCTTGGACAGCACGTCCGCGTCCACGTCGCCGCCCACGGCCACCACGGTGGGCACCACGTTCTGCTTGCGCATGGAGTGCACCGCCTCCTCCAGGCTGTCGTTGCCCGTGACGCCGTCGGTGAGGAACACGAAGGCCAGCTCGGCGTGGCGGCGCGCGCCCGGGCGCGCACCGCGCACCACGTGGTTGATGGCGTGCACTATGCCCGCGCCCACGTGCGAGAAGGAGTTGAGGTAGCGCGCGCCCTCCAGCGCCTCGTGGATGACCGTCAGGTTGGACGTGAGCGGGAAGGCCACCTGCTGCTCGCCCGGGCCCCCGAACTGCAGCAGGGCCACGCGCGCGTTGAGCGGGTCGTCGTCCCTGCGCGCCAGCGTCAGCCGCCGGGACACCTCCTCCACGAAGCGCCGTGCCTTGTGGAAGTTCTGCTCGCCCAGCCGCTCGGAGCCGTCCAGCAGGAAGACGATGTCCACAGGCCGCTGCGTGCACTGGGCCACGTACAGCTCTGGGGGCAAAACGGGGTGGTGGGCGGGCGACCCGGCTACCTGTCCCGGCCGCCGCAGGCCCTGGCGCAGCCTGGCGCCCCGCCTGGCCGTGCCCTGTGCCCATCTATGGACACCGCCCCCCACCGGAGCCCTAAGAGCCACCAGGGTTGTGGGGTGGCGTCCAAAGTCACCCATCATCCGGAACCCCTACCATAGTGGCCCCAGGCGAGGATGGGGGCTCCTGCCCCATGTCCTCGGAACCTGTCACCATCTTTTCTGGTTTTGCTCTCACCAGGAAATGTCCCCCAACGTGAGGGCCGAGAGGCTTATTTCTACCCTCCAAGCACCGTCTCTCCAGGCCTTCCTGGGCAGGAAGGGGACCCCTGAAATGGCCACAGCCCACTCTCCCACAGTACGGGTGGGAGAGAGGGTCAGGGAGGCTGTTTTCGAATTTGTAATCACGTAAAAAGATCTCATAAAGACTTCCAGCCCTGAAGATCTCCAGGTTGCAGGGACGCATCTCTGGCCGTAACCCCCTCAGTCCCTGTTGCCCCAAAGCTGCCAATGCTGGCTGGGCCACACCTCTCCCAGTTTTGGGGGCACAGGCAAGGAGAGCCGGTGTCCTCTCTGACTGGACACCTGTCTGGTAGGCGGTAGGCACAGGCGCACCCAGACCCCTGCAGCAGCCTGGGCGACTCTGTTACCTGAGGAGGGCCCTGCTGGTGTCTGGGTGGTCACCAGCCCTGGACACACCAGACAGTGTGGGGGCGAGGCCACACCTCTGCGGGATGCGGACGCCACAGCACAGCCTGAAAACCCACTCCTCACATACATGTGGCCCTCCCTCCACAGACATGCGGCCAGGTCCCCCCTGCTGCGGCCTTGCTGGAGACTTCAACCAGAGCCACAGTCGGGGCTGGGTGGCCGGTCCTGCTTGCATTCAGCTCCTGAGCCCTACGGGCCCCCCTCTGGGACGTGGGTCCAGGTTTGCTGACCCCTGGGGCCAGGAGGGTGGGGATCCCATCAAGGAGGTTCTAACTCCTGGCACCAACGAGCAGGGCCTCAGCCCAGGACCCAGGTTTGGGGCGGCTCTGCGGGCACTGGGCACCCGCCTGCACAGGGGGCTGCTTCAGTCCAGCCCCCAGCCAGCGGCATGTCGCCCCAGCACATCACTTGCACAGCAACGTGTTCACATTCTTTTTCAGCTTTTATAGAATGTTTAAGATGTGATCACAACATCTGAAGGATGCTCCCCTGGGTGCGTCACCACGCAGTGTGGATGCCAGGCCACCAGCAGATGGAGCAACGATTGCAGGATTCTTTTTAAAGGAGCTTCTATTAATGACATAGCTTATTTTGGGGGCAGTGCGGGCGAAAAGCAGCTTCTGCTTTATAAATCCACACAGCCAGGACTTGCTGAAAACGTCTAGCAAGTAGTCTAGGTCCCCCGCGCTCCCAAGTCACTCCCAGCAGAGACACACGTGGGGGGAGGGGAGTTTTCCCCCAGGCATCAACCAGGGAGGTTGACAAAAATGCACAAGGGGTGACCACAGGCAGAAGCTGGAGGGGAAGCTAGGAGTTCTGGGCTTATTTACGAGGCTCTGCTCCTTTCTCTCAATTTTTGGCTAAATAATGGCTCCCCCAAAGATGTCCACATCCTAATCCTGGAGCCTGTGAACATGACCTTATATGGCCCAAAACAAAAACAAAAAACAAAAAACAAAACCAAAAAACCACTGCAGATGGAATTAAATTATGACCTTGAAACTATTCTGGATTCTCCAGTGGGCCCTAAGTGCCACCACAAGCTCCTTACAAGAGGGAGACGGGGCAGTCAGGCTACAAAAGGGACAGGCTCTGTGACAATGGAGGCAGACAGGAACTGGAGGAGGCAGGAAGGATCTTCCCTGGAGCCCCCGGAGGGAGCATGGCTCTGCCACAGCAGGGTCTTGGATTTTCGGCCTCCAGGCTGAGCGAGAATAGATTTCTGTTGTTTTAAGCCCCTTAGCATGTGGTGGCAGCCACCGGGAGCTAACGCAGCTGGGCCGGGCAGCTCTGGCCAGCCCTGCATGTGGGCAGCCCCTGCGGCTTCAGCAGAGGGCCAGTGCGGTCTCAGGGTCCCCCACAATGTCCCTGTGCACCAGCTTAAACGTGTCAATGAACAGTTCCATCCAGTCCTGCCGCTCGTTGCCTGTGGCGAACTTGGCTCGCTCTGCGGTGTAGACCAGCACGGCCACCAGCCTGGAGTAGGCGGCCGGGTCCTGCGTGAACTCCGTGGCGTTTAGCAACTGTTGGATCAGGGGGATGGTCCTGGGGAAGGAGGCATCCGGGCCCTCTTCCGTGCGGAGGAAGGTGACCGGGGACTCGCCGCCAGGCCGCGGTCCATCTGCAGGGGCATCCAGAGAAGGCAAGGGGGTGGGATGAGGAGGCGGGAGGCTGCAGCTCCCCCACTGTCAGCACGGGTGCCAGAGCTCACAGGGGACTTGGGGGCCAGCAGCAAAGCGCATTGCCGGGGAGACGGGAGCAGAAGCACCTTCGGGGTCGCTACAGACCTGGAGACCTGCAAGACTCTTGTACACAAGGTGGCACTGAGGCTTGACCAGTCTCGGGTTGGCTTCTAGCGGCTTGAGGCTGTGCCCCCGGAGGACCCCAGCCCCACTTACAACACCTGACTGAGAAAAGCCAGTGCGGCCAAGAGAGTTTAGTTGGTTCCAGCCCCCACCTGGCGATCGGCAGGGGGGCCCCGGACCCCCTCTCAGAAGAGCTACCAGAAACCTTGCTGTGATAAATCCTCCTTCCTGTGTTGAGGCGCCCATCTTCCACTGCCCAGAACTGTCCCCTCACGGACCCGGGGGCTCCGACACGGACACTCACGGCATCAGGGCCTAATCTTGTGGACGCCCTTCTCCAGGTGCGTGCACCACGGCCTCCTGTCCTAATGTTCCAGGAGTTTCTGTGTCCTCTGGGCAGGTGCCAGGTAGCAAACCCAGGCGGCCTGGTCCCGTGGAGCCCACACCCCCGACACGCACACTGCCTCCCGTGCCTGAACCCCTGCACGCCCAGCCCTAGAGAGTCTCCCGCCTCTGGCCCAGGCAAGTTGGGCTCAGGTCGCCCTGGGGCTCCCGCCCCTGCAGCAGCCGCCCAGACCAAGCTCAGTCTGCACCTCAGCTGGTGTCCAGCTCTGTTTCTCTTTGAAGCTCTCGTGGTTCCGACCCAACCAAGCAAGCTGCTCCCTGGCCTAGGGGTGGCTAGGCCTCTGGGTGGATGGAGCCATTTGGCCCAGAAGGTCAGGGTCAAGCCACAGCCAACAGCATCCACCTAACATCCTGTTTTCGGCCTGGAAATGCCCAGAGGCACACCCAGCCCTCAGGGTGCCAGGGGATGGTTCGCGAGATCTTATCCCATAGTTACATCTGCTTTCTTCCTCTCTGGTCACCGTGTCTAGTATGCTTGGAAATTTTGGTCGCTTTAAAGGATGAGCTTATGACTTTAGCAGAAAAGGTAGGAGAAGATGGAAAAGGGTCTCCCAGGGGGACCACCCCCTTTTACTGCAGGGTCTTGGAGGCTCAGGGGAAGCAAGGTCAGCATCCCAGTGGCCAGCGTTACTCTAACAGCAAAACCAGAGACCTCACAAGAAAGGAAATCGCAGCCTGATACTGCTCATGAACACAGATGCAAAAGTCCCCAACGAATTGTTAGCAAACCAAATGCCACAATATATAAAACAATTTGTACACCACGACCAGATGGGATTTATCCCAGGTCTGCAAGTTTGGCTCACCATCTGAAAATCCATGCCCTCCATCACATTAACATGCTAAAAAGAAGGTAAGTCACACGATCCTATCCAAACATAAAGAAAAAGCACATGACAAAGCCTTCGTACTGGTTCATGATGGAATCCTCGGTGACAAGGAACAGAGGGACCTTCTCAGCTTGACAAAGAACCTCTACAAAGAACCTCAGCTAACTTCGTACTCAGTGCTGAAAAACTCGAAGCTTCCCTGCCACGGCTGGGGCACGGCGAGAGTGTTGGGCCCTGGCACTAGGGGTGAGGCTCTGGGTTCTGGCCTTCAAGGGGCCAGCCTGATGGGGGGCCCCACCCCAGGACGGGCAGGGCAGGGACACAGTGGGGGCGGGGGGGGGGAACGGTCGGCAGCTCCGTGTGGCCTCAGGTCTCAGACAGCTGTGGGTACTGCCTCCAGCCATCGCCAGCTGACTCTGGGGACCCCAGGCCCAGGCGGCGTCCAGAGTGATCCCAGAACTCACATAGCCGTGGTGTGGCCAGAGGTACAACCGTGATGGCCACTTTCTGGGATGTTCTCTGTGAGGGGAAGTGTGGGGACTCCTGCCCCCAACCCAAGACAGTTCCTTCCCTCGGGTTGCCTTTGCGCCTTCAGTCCTGCCCCCTGAGGGGTATACACGCAAGCCCAGAAATGCTGACTTTGCACGGCAGACGTGGACGTGGGTGCAGGCCACGCGTTTCCTAGCTGTGTCCTCTGCTGGACCCGGCAGCACGGCCTCATGTGCCCCCACGGTGGCCCCCACCTCCCCGGGCCGGGTCATGGGAGGATACGAGCCCGGTGCCCACGGCCCGGCCAGAAGGCACGGGGTTGGTTCCAGAACCCAGGCTGGTGGGGAGGTCTCCACCACACCCAGGGCGCCTCCATGGGCCCCCTGGCCTCAGTCACTGCACAGCTGAGCCTCGGAGGTAGCATCTAGATGCCAGGGGAGCGCGGACGATGCCCGTCCTGCCCCTTCCCTGGCCCCAAGGGACCCCAAGGACAGCCTCTCTGTGCACCCAGCACTTCAACCTCAAATGCAGCGCGACCGTTATCAGGCGAGGGCACAGGCCCCGAACACAAGCGGGCGCCTGCTTCCAGAGGCAGTGGCTCAGGGCTGTTGGCGCGGAGGCAAGCGGACGAGCCGGCGCCGTGTGGCACTTCATGCGTTCACCTCCCGGAGGTGAATCAGCCACTTTGTGGACCGGATCCAGGGCTTCTGCCTGTGGGAGCTGAGATGGCCCTGGGGTGTCTGCTCCTCCCGGAGGGTGGGGACCACAAGGTGACGAGGCTGTGAGTCTGCGCTGGAGACCAGTAGGCTGCCAGCCAAGCGCGGGCCAGGACAGTGCACCTCCCTAACATGTGCTGAGTGGGGGTGGGGAGGGGTGGGGTGGTGACCGAAGGGCTCCAGATGTCAACCCCCACCCCAGCCCCTCCTCAGACATGCCGGGGTCCTGGGGCCTCGAAACCACCGGTGTGGGCTGAGACGCCAACCTGCAGGTGTTTTTCCAGGGAGGGGTCCCGCAGCGGCCCCTCCTGCCCAGCACCCGGTTGCTTGCTAGTCTAGGGCAGGGGGCTTGGCAGCGCCCTGAGTTACCTGTTTGGCAGGGAAGGTCCGGGCACACGATCTGAGGGTCTGGGAGCAAGGAAAGGGGCCGAAGGTCCCGGTCAGTCTCTGCTGGGGCCGGCGGGGGCTGGGCTCCCCCACTGCCCGTGAACGCCCCAGCCCCCTCCCCCCTGCCGCGGGTCCCCCTCCCCACCGGACGGACAGGCCCGGGGAAGCGAGTGGTCTGTCTGCTGCTCACCCGGGCACAGGACATCTTCCATGTCATCGATGAACTTCTCGGCCACCAGGTCAGAGAAGAGGGTCATGTTTCGCACCTGCTGCGGCTTGTCGCAGGCGATGGAGTACAGGTTCTCGCTCTCGTGCCTCTCGTGGAACATGTCACCAATGCCGATGGCTGTCACTGTGACGTCATGGTTGCACAGCGCCCGCAGGTTGAGGTCGTCGTCCCGGGGGTCGTGGCGGCCGTCCGTGATGACCACCGCGAACACGCGGGTCTTCTGGCGCCGGCTCTCCTTGATAAGCTTGTTGTAGGCGAACTTGAGGGCCGAGGGTGTCCAGGTGCCCCCGGCGATCCACTCCAGGTTCTTGACGGCCTCCTTGAAGCTGGACAGGGAGTCGATGCGTTCGTCATCCAGCTGGATGGCTTCGAAGGTGCCCTCGTGGCTGTACTGCACCACGCCCACGCGGGTTCCTGCGGCGGCCAGACACAGGCATGAAGGTATCACCGCCTTGCATCGGTCGCCACCCTCAAGCGGAAACTTGGGGCCCCTGGGCAGAGCTGAGACCCCCTCCCTTGAATTTCTGTCTGTCCACCGACTCTCGTGACGGGACCTCAGGGCTTCCGGCCTGCCTGGCCTCCCTGCCCGTGAGTGGGACCTCCTGACTCCCCACCCGCCCCAACCGCGGGCGCAGCTGACCGGTCTCTGACTTGGGGTCCTTGGCAATGGCCCCCAGCCTGTTGACCACGTTGATGACAAAGTTCTTTTCCAGGGTGAAGTTGGTGTAGCCGATGCTCTCGGAGCTGTCGATGACGAACACCACGTCCAGGGCCCCACACCGCTTCTCGCAGTCTGGGGGTCGGGGGCAGGGTCAGTGGGAGAGGCAGGTGGCTGTGTGCACTGACCCCAGGCCCTGGGAGACACGCCCACGGTGCACGGCCAGGCGCACAGGGGGACACAGTGACCTTGAGGGGGAGGGCGCGACCCAGACAGATGACCCTGACTCCTGGATGAGGGCCCCCCAGGGACACGAGTAGCCTAGCTCCTCCGCCGCGTGGGGGCCAAGACTCACCGCAGCACCCGCATGTCTCCCTCACGTAGGTCATGACGTCGCACTCCTGCGACACAGGGGGGTCAGCCCCGGCCCAAGAAAGCAAGTGCTTGCTGACCTCGGCCTCTGACCTCTTCCCCGCCGCCCTTGCTTTCCCATTTCAGGAGAGAGGGGAACACCATTCCATCTCCACCTGACACTTACCGTGAGGCCGGGATCTCCAGGGGGGCCGGGCTCTCCCTGGAGGAGGAAGGATGACAGTGAGGGGTGGTCCCTGTCTGGGCCGAGGCTGGGCAGCCCCCCACACCCTGTGCACCGACCGCACGGGTCTGCCACCAGCACAGCCCTGAGGTCTGGGGTGCACGCTGGCTGGGCTGGCCCAGGGCTGTGGCCTGAGCACTGGAGGGACCAGCCACTGACCTACCTCGGGTCCTGGGGCTCCTTTTGGGCCCCGCAGGCCGGGCTCACCAGGGGGACCGGGATCCGCCTGAGGAGGGAGAAGGGCAGGTGGGTGGCAGCCTTGACCTTGGCAGGCCTACAGCCCCTGCACCCCCTGTCCCTGCAGCCCCCGTGCACTCTCAGCCCCTGTACCCCTCTGTACCCCCAGCACCCCCCTGTAGCCCCCGGCACCTCCCCTGAATCCTCCTGCACTCCTGGCCCTTGTAGGCCCCGGAAGCCCCCTGCACTCTCAGCCCCTGCACCCCCCGGCACCTCCCTGCACCCCTGGCCCTGAGTACTTACAGGCTCACCCTTCTCGCCCTTCCTCCCGGGCTCTCCTTTGGCACCAAAGTCACCTCTGCTCCCCTGAGACACGGGACGCTGGTCAGCCAGGGGTGGGGAGCTGGGCACTGCCTCCACCCCCAGCCAAGACCTCCAGGGTGTCTGCGGGGGTGCAGCCTGCTTTTGTCAGGAAGAGCCTGTGCCTGGCAGTCGGGTTTGCTGCTGGGCCACTACACATGGCATCTCAGGAGAGATGCGGTTTTCCGTCTGACGGAGACTAGCACGTGGCAGTTTCCACCATGCAGAGCTCAGCATGGGAAGCTGGTTGGTGGCCGAGTGGGAGGGGAGGGGCATGCAGGCCACCCCACGGTGGGTGCGGAGCGGGCCTCGGTACGTACCTCAGGGCCGCGAGGACCAGGCTCGCCTTTGTCTCCCTGGGAAGCAAGCACAGGTCATGGTCACGGAGCCTGAAGGGCTGTCCCTCGGGCGGGCGGCTGGCTTTCCCGGGGACCCAGAGATGTTTGGAAGCCCCCCCCCCCCACGCCTTATGGTCTCAGGTGTCACAACCTGTATAAAGCCATGGGGCTGAAGGTGAGTGCCACGGCAGCTGCACCGGGTCTGGGACGATTCCGGGGGCCCTGCCCCTGCCAGGTGACCCTGTGCCCACTCCCCTCACCTTATCCCCTGGAGGGAGGCCCTTGCAGGAACTAGCGGGCCCCCAAACCCATGCCAGGACTTACGGGCGTTCCTCGGGGTCCTGGGTAGCTGAATCCAGGCCTGCCGGGGTCTCCCTGCGGGACGGGGAGGCCGGTCAGGGAGGGTCCAGTGGGAAAGGAAGAGACCGGGCTGGCAGGGACCGAGGACGAGGGCGGAGGGGGCTGGGCTGCTGGCCTGGTGGGGGGCAGCCACGCGTGCAGGGCCCCGCCTGGGGAAGGACGTGCTACCCCCCAGGGTGAGAACAGCGGGGGCCGCCCGGCCCCCTCGTGTCCCCCACGCCAAGGGGGCCGGGACTGGCACGCTCCCGGCCGCCTCACTCTAAAGCTGAGGCTGGTCCTGTCCAGCAGGGTATGGGGGGTACCTTGGGACCAGGCTGTCCTGACTCTCCACGGGGACCAGCGTCACCGGGGTCTCCCCGAGATCCCTGAGGGCAGAGAGAAAGTGGAGTCAGCACAGATGGGGACTGATCAGCTCCAGCGACACTGCCCTTCTCCCCTGCTGCCCTGGGGGGACCGGGCGCCCTGAGCTTTAAGGCCCGCCTCTTCTTCCATGTGCCGCAGCCTGGCCCCCAGATTCCACACGCTGTCTCCCCCTTGCTGCCTCCCAAATGATAAAGCTGGATGCCTCAGGGCAGGGCGTCCGTGTGAGGTGCACAGTGGCTCTCGTCCCCCCACTGTGCTGCTGTCCGAGTGGGTCATGGAGACAGTGTCCTGCCTGGGAACAGTGTCCTGAGGACAGGAGGACCCAAGTGGCATTACAGGGTGGGGGCCCCAGAACCTCAGGGCCCTCCCAGGTGTCCTGCTGCTGACCTTCTTCCCGGGCTCTCCGAGAGCCCCCTGAGGGCCTCTGGGTCCAGGCAAGCCTCGGTCTCCCTGAAAAGAAATCGGATGAGGGCACCTCAGAGACCCCGCTGTTGATCACTGCAGATTAGGCAGGGATGGTGGGGGGGGGGGTTCCTCCTGCTCTCCAAGAGGCCCTGGGCAGAAGAAGGACAGGGGGTCCGAGTTCCCCCCGTCCAGCCGGGGAGCTGGGTGCCCGCCCTGGGAGGATGAGTGGCCTCACTTACCTTGGCTCCTTTGTTGCCAACCTCTCCAGCCAGACCCCGGGGCCCCTCAGGGCCAGGGTCTCCCTGTTGGAAGAGAGGCCCAGTTAGCCTGGGCATGTGGAGGGGCAGGGGAGAAGAGGGGATCATTTAACTTCCTGGAGGGGAGGATGCCAGATTATGGCAGGTTTCGCTGGAACAGCAGCCCTGCTCATGCAGGTTCATGCACCAGGATAGGGACTACCACCCATTTCCCAGAGGAGGAAGCCCCTCCTTCAAGCCCTTGACCCAGGTCTTGTGGGATACGGTCAGCCCTCAGATTTTACCACAAAGACAAAGACATCCTGAGTTAGCTACAGGAGTGTGTGTGTCTGCAATCGAAAGCTGCGGGGTGGAGCAGTGCGAAGCCTGCACAGCTGTGCATGTCACTCATGAAACTGGCTTTATCCTGCCCACGCTCCTCGGCAGGGCTTGTGGGTGGGGATGACCTGCCTCCTGTTTTCTGAGAACCTGTAGGAGGTGCCTCTGCCCCCACCAATGGCCAGGACCCAGGGGTCACTTTTGTTTTCCTGGGTGAACCATGGTGGGGGGATGTTGGTTGTCCATTGTCCCATGGCCCTGTCGACACCACGGTGAGACACTGGTGCAGACTCAGCCAACAGCTGCCCCTCTCAGACACTCACCTTCTCACCCTTGGGGCCGTCACCGCCCGGGCTGCCCTTGGCTCCTGGGTCCCCTCTGCGCCCCTGCAGAGAACAGAGGAGGCCTTGGTGGTAGGGCCATGTGGGGCCTCCACGCTCTGCTCTCCACACTTGGACATGGACTTTGGGGGAGGGGCCTTGGTCATCTGTTGGGTAAGTTTTGTTGTACCCAAGGATTTAGGAAATGAGGAGTTCCTGATCAGCTCGTAAGACCTAGTCAATTAGGAGTTTTAGTTGATGTGACTGGGGCCCAGCTTGGACCAGCCATCAGCACGGTCACTCTGTTCACTTCTGGGCGAGGCCAGTCCTCGGGATGTGTCCCCTCTGAGGGTCAGGCTGGGACCAGGTCCCATTTGACCTGCAGTAGACATGAGGGGACAGCTGGGCGGGGTCACCGTGAGGGACCCACAGGGTGCACGCCTGCGTGTAGGTTCAGCCCTCGGAGTGTCTCGCTGGGAGGGCACTGTGGGGACACCAGGTCCGTTCCCAGGCAGCGGAGCCTGGCCAGCAGGGGTCTGGCCCTGCCTGAGTGCTACCGCAGGCGGTCTGTTGCGCCAGGGGGCAAGGGGCACACGAGGAGCAGCTGGAGGATGCAGGGCGCAAAGAGGCCCCAAGCAGGGTGTGGGGGGTGCCCCTGCAGGCGGGGCTGGGTGGGCAGGCCGGACCCAGAGGGAACAGCTCACACCGGCCGGCCGCCACTGACCTCTGGGCCCCAGGGGTCTGTGGGGGAGGAGCGTGAACTCACAGGCTCGCCTTTGGGTCCTCGGGGGCCAGGCCCGCCCTTGGCTCCTTTCACACCGGGACTTCCGGGGGCCCCGTTGTTGCCTTGATACCCCTGCGGAGAGGAGACATGTGAGCCACGGCAGGGAACGGCCCCGCTGAGCGTCCTCACTCCACAGCCCCCGCCGCCGTCGGGTGGGTGTGGGGGGCCCCGGTCACCCGGCAGCGTGCGCAGAGCACAGGGCCTTCCTGCGCTCCCTGCTCTGTGCCGGCGGGCGCGGCTGCTGTCTGGCTGCAGCGGGAGAGCGGGGACCCGCCAGGGGCACTTGCCTTGCTGCCTTTGGCCCCGTTGTCTCCTGGGGGTCCTCTGCGTCCTGGGCGGCCAGCATCTCCCTGGCAAAGTTTGGAGAGATCAATTTCCCATCCCTCGGACGCTGGCAACAGGGCAGGACCCTGCTCTCGAGGGGTGGGCCCCGCACAGCCGCGCGGGCGAGTTCGCCAGGCAGGGGCCCGGCGAAGGGCTGTCCTTCCTGCTCCTCCGGCGGCCTGGGCAGCCAGGAGGGTGGACGCAGAACACCCGAGGGAGCTGAGAGCTTTCCAGAGGGGGCCCGGAGAGGTCTGGGAGGGGATTGGGCTTGTTGCTGTGGCCATCGGGGCACCGCAGAGCTGAGCCAGGATACACGGTCCTAAGCTGGCCATGGACTGCTACCGTTTCGGGCAGGCCACTCTGTGGCCCCCTGTGTGAGAGCACTGCCAGGGCGTGAGTGTCCCATGACCCCCTGGGCGTGGGCACCCGCAACCCTCCTGAGTGCAAGCACCCCATAACTCCCCTGAGTGTGAGTACCCCACAGCCCCAGGGCATGGGTACCCCATGATCCCCTCCCGAGTGTGAGTACCTCTGACTCCCAGTGTGAGCACCATACACCCCATGGACATGGGCACCCCTTGACCCCTCTGGAGGCGGGCACCCCGTGACCCTCTTGAGTGTGAGCGCCCCACACCCCCTGGACATGGGCACCCTGTGACCCCTCAGGCAGGGTACTCCCAGGCCTCCTGCCTGACAGCCGGTTTGCAGGGACAGGCCCTCTCGGCCAGGCTGCCTCTCCCCGGGGCCTGGTGCTGCAGGTGGGGAGAGGGCCACTGGGTCTGTCTTGGAGGGCCTGCCACCTTGGCCAGGCAGCCTACCTTGGTGCCCTGGTCCCCTTGCTCCCCAGGGCTGCCGGCATCACCTGCGTATCCATCGGGGCCCTGCAAGACAGGATGTCAGGGCTGTCCTGGCTCCTGCCCCGAGCGGTGCCGGGGTCAGCTCGGGGCTGGCTGGGGGAGGGCGGCAAACACCCACTGTCTGGATTGAGTGCTCCGCCTGGGTCTCTGCTGCCAGAACCCTCCATCAGGACTCTGAGAAGTAGCCGCCCTTGACCTCCCCCAGAATTCCCTGAGGTTATTCCCTCCTGTGTGACCACGGCCCCAGCTGAACCCTGGGTGGGAGTCAGGTACAGGCAGGAGAGGGGCTGAAGGAAGGGTCTGAGCTTCCTTGCTGCAGCTCGAGGGGCTGGCCACCACCCTGCCCACCCTGCCGGGCACCCAGAGCCAGGGGCTTAACCGGAGGAGGAACACAAGCTGGGCTTACCCGACTCCCGGGGTCTCCCTTGCAGCCAGGAGGCCCAATGCGCCCCAGTTTGCCCTGGAGGAGAGGAGGGGAGGGGAGGAGAGGGGCAGGGTGCGTCAGGGAGGTGTACCAATCATGGGTGTATGCACAGGTGCGGTCTGTGTGGCTTCCACACCCACGGGCACACAGCTGTGTTTCAGCGGCTCGACTGCATGGGGGCATTTCTGTGGGGTGATGGTGAGTCCCCGGGCCGTAGCCAGAACAGAGGGTCCGAGTGCCTCTCCCCGTGCCCACACGTGTGCATGTGCGCAGCCTGCCAGGTGGGCCAGATCTGGAGCACAGGGTGGGCCCTCGGGAACAAATGTCCACTGGCTCTGTCGGTGTTATTTGTCCCGTGTCCACTGGATAGGTGCCACTGGGACCCATCAAGCTACGGGCTGTGGGCAGTGGCCGGTGGGGCCCAGAAGTCTGGCCCTAGGTAAGAACCTGAGGGTCTCCTGGAGGCTCGCTTACCCCCCATACGTCGGAAACACCGATATGCACCTGCACTCCCGCCCAGCCCAGGGAGGGTGCCCAAGACGCACTCTACCTTCTGTCCATCCGTCCCGTTCTTGCCAGCCAGGCCAGGGGCCCCCTGGAGGGAGAGGTGTGATCGTCAACCCGGGAGCAGCAGGAGGGTGGGGCACCCGGCCCGCCCGGCCTGCACAGCCAGCTTACCTTCCGCCCGTCAGCTCCAAATTCACCCTGTGCAGGAGGAAAGTGAGGTGGGTCAGTTAGGCGCCTTCAGCATCGCAGACACCGCTGCCTCAGGGGCCCAGGTCTGCCTTGGACCAAAGAGGCCAGAAGGGCCCCCGAGAGGGCCGCTCGTGGCATGACGACAGGTCCCGTGCCCTGATGGGGGCCACAGGCTCGCTGACGGATGCTGCTGGGGGCTGGGGTCGTGGCTGTGTCAGAGTCTCACCTTCTCTCCTTTGAAACCAGGAACACCCTGAGGTTGGAAGGGAAAAAGAGCAGCGTTACTGTGGGGTGTGAGCTGCACCCACGGGCTCAGGGGAACAGCGGCTGGGTGTCAGCCTCAGGTGGGGTGCTCGATTCGGGGACGACTTCCAAAATATCGAGATGCTTTACTTCTTGCGTTGGGGGTGGAGAGGGTGGCCAGCCCCACCTGACCCAGGCTTGTCCCCACGTCCCACCGGCCATGGGGGCAGAGCGGGCAGCAACTTGCCTTGGGTCCCGGGAATCCAATGGGGCCTTCGATGCCTGGATCTCCCTGTGGAAGAACAGAGGCCACAGCTATAACCCCAGTCCTGGAGAAGCACGGCCGACGGGGCAGGGGTGGGGAGGACACTCACCTGTCGTCCTTTCTGCCCAGGCTCTCCTGGCTCACCCATGTTGCCCTTGGCACCCTAAAAGCAGATGATGGAAAAAGGGGTAAACTAAGGCAGAAAGAGGACAAGAGACTGCAGGAAGCAAGAGGGCAGAGGCTTCTGTACTGCTGTGTCCTGTTTTGGGGCTCCTCTGTGGCCCCACAGAGGCCAGCTGTGGTCCCTGAGGCAACTTCCAGCGACCCGCACCCGGGAGGACCACGGCGGCCAGAGCTGTGGCCACATCCATGCCTGGGCACCACCACCCAGGAGAGAGGGCAGTGGGAGTGTTTACCCGGAGGCCTGGTGGACGTGTGTCTACATCTCTACTGGTTTAAGCAGCTCCCTTAGAAAAGGCGAAAACCTGAGGCTACGTGGTAACAACTTCCCCATTAACTGTCTCTGGGTGGGGGGCGCTCAGCCCCCCGAGGCCTCCCTCCCTCCTCGGCCTTTATCTATAACCTTTGACGTGAACTAGTGGTATTTCTGATACCCTGGTAGTCAGTGTTGTAAGAAAAATGGAAACCTGCCTATTTGACAGACGGCAGAAGCGGGTGCTTTGCATGAATTAGCAACCGCATCACTACAGAAACCTGCTTCCAGTTTCGCTGACGTGCTCGAGCAGGCTGCTTTACCAACCTCAGTACTAACAGAACTGTTCCTACTTTTCTCAAAACGCCATTTAAAAGGACGTAGATAAAAACTGAATTTTGGTACTTCTAAGGTCCGAAGCATTGAGGCCATTCGAGGTGTGGTTGGTCCTAAATTTGGAGCCGAAGAGGCCAGGCCCGGGGGGCTGTGCAGGCGTCTTACCTTCTGTCCGCGGTAGCCCTTGGGGCCGGGAGGCCCAGGGATCTCCAGGCAGCTCACCTTGTAGCACTGAAACAAGAAGCAAGCGGCGTCCAGTAAGGCCCGGGTGGGAGGCCCACTGGGGGGTGGGGTGTGGCGAGCACGGGCTGGAGGCAGGAGCGGACTCAGGAGGTGCCTGGGAAGCCCAAGCCCACACACACTCTGGTCACGTTTGGGAAAACCGAGGCTGGGTTAAACAATGTCTGATCGTAGCCACTTATGCCTGCGTGTCAAACCACCGTGTTTGTGAGCAGCTGTTCTGGGAAGGGGCGTGTTTGCGGGAACCTCGCAGAGTGGGAAGCGACCGTTCCGGGCTGTGAGCTGGCGCTGAGGACGCACAGGGACAGGGGAGTGTCAGAGCTGAAGGTCCTGAGCCACACGGCACACGAGCCCCCTGCCCGTCCTGCTGGCCTGGCTCAGGTGGACAGAGCCCACCAGCGTGGAGGGCGACCCTGAGCCTTGGTCCTCGTGGTGTGTGCTTGGTGGTGACCCTAATGCCCACCCCCGGGTTTAAACAGCCTGGTTTTGGACAGGAGCCCTTCATGCAGACTTAAGAGTCTCAGGCCCAAACGTGGAGCAGAGGGGCCTTGCTGCCTGGCCTCCGCTTGTCTGTCCTAGACGCCGGGGAGCACCAGGGGGCTGGCACGGGGGTAGTCCCTCCTGGGTCAGCGCCTCAGAGGCCCAGCGAGCAGCACCGGGCCAGGGCTGGCAGGAACGGTAAACGTCTCTCACCTCTCCATAGGCTTCATGTTTCTGCAGGAAAGACAGAGAAACCCTGCTTAGCTGAAGCTGCAGGTGGGGCAGCATTGCATCTGGGTGGGAACACTGCACACTGGGGCAGGGGGAGACCCTGCCCGGGGCTTACCCTCTCCGGATGCCTCCCTCACAGATGGGTAAACTGAGGCCCAGAGCAGTGTATGGCCCGCTGCCGTCCCGGGTAAGTGGGTCCCAGGGCTCTGGCCCCCACCGTCCCCTCCTGGTGCCCCGCGGGTTAGGGTCAGGGAGCAGCTCACCATGACCTTGATGATGCGGTTGATGGTGTCCTGGTCGATCTCCGAGTCGGCCTGCATCGTGGCGTAGTTGTTGCGGTAGAGCTCCAAGGGCATGCTGGCGATGTCCCGAAGGCCCTGCTCATTCAGCAGGTTCTGCCTGGGGGCCACGGCGAAGAGCCGGATGCCCTCCTCGCGGGCCCTCTCGGCCTGCGGCTTGATGCCCCCGCACGGGCTGCCGGTGACGTGGCCGTCGGTGATGACCACCGCGAAGTTGACCGCGCCCTTGCTCTTGTGCTGCCGGATCTCCTGGGTCATGTTGGCCAGCGCGCAGTCGGTGAAGGTGCCCCTGCGGAAGGACTGGATGCCCTGCAGGCTCCTGGTGAAGGAGGCCCGGTCGCTGTCGGGCGGGCTGAACACCTCCACCAGGTCGGAGAAGTGCAGGCCGCCGTAGCGCCAGCTCAGGACCACCTGGTCCAGGTAGGCCTCGTCCTGCAGCTGGCTGGTGAACTGCTTCACGAACTGCCGCATGTGGTCGAGCAGGCTGTCGGTGGGGGACTGCATGGTGATGCTCTCCGACGTGTCCAGCACGAAGTACACGTTGATGGGGCAGTCGGCCTTCTCTGGGGGGGCGGGGCACGCGTCACCGGCCGCCCCGGTGGAGGGAGGCCCCGCGCCCGCGGGTTCCGGGCTCTGCCCCCACAGCGGCCCCCTGCTGCCCACCCCGGGCCCCGGCCCCCGGCCCCCGCGGCCAGTACCTGGGCAGTGGTTTCTGTCAGAGGTGCTGGGGCTGATGAGCTCCTGCTGCTGGGCACGGGGGGTCCCCAGGAGCCCCCAGAACAGGAGGGCGGAGCAGGGGCCCCGGAGCATCTTGGTAGCACCCATGCACTCT